GTCGGTGACCTTAAGTACGCTTCCTCTTAGCAAAGGGCTACGGTAGCCTCGCTGCATCAGGACCTTTGACGTCTCTTTTTTAAAGAATTTGTGAGGGGCCGTACCAAGATGATTTGCACTAGATTTTTGCGAATTATTGTCCAGGTCAACGCACTTCTTTGGATTCCTTTGAGGCAGGGATACTGGCCAATCACCAATAGCATGTAGTTTTGCGGGATATGCCTCCAGAATAAGATTTTTTAGGAAGTAAATCGAATGAAGAATCGCATCGACCCCCAGCGACGCATTGTCTGAACGAGTGAAGAACATGTCGGAGCGCAAACTTCAAGCACTACTCAAAGGTTTTTTTCGTGGTTTACCGCATCCGACTCCGCAAGATCAGCTCGCCTATCAGCGAATATGTCGACAAAACAAATTTGCGCATTGCCACGAAGTAGCCTGTAATTCTGCGACAGCAAACAGTTGGACGTCGCTTGTGTTTAGACTGCTCATATGGCATAATCGTCAAACTGATGGGCGTCTTGCTCGAAGACTCACAGAAGTGAGAGGCATATTGCTGTTTCTTTTGAACAGTTAATCATATTGGTAGAGAAAGACTACCCGGTTCGGGATAAATGAGTTACTTGCACTAAAGTATGCGCTTGTCAAATTCAGCGTGCTTCTGCTTAGCTTTTAGCCATTTGTGATCCTTCTTACAGTTCCCTTAGCGTAACGTATCCCTCACGAAGAATTACACCAACATGCATTCGAGGTAGGGCATAACCCAGTACGACTTAGTATGTTGCAATTGCTGTATTTCTTGAAGTGACGTCGCCGATCGATGAGGCGATATGAACAGAGATTAAGTCAAACGGAAAATGAGTGGCTTTGCTGGAAGCATTAAAAAGTAAGAGTGCGTGATCTCAGATGCCGCTTTATCGAAGTGCTCAGTTGCACGCATGCACCAGAAAAGAGAAAGGAAGAGAAACTAATATATCTAGTCTGTATGCTTGCTGTATTACTCGGTGCAATGTCTACCCCGTTACGAAGTGTATTGTATGCACACGTGTCCTCTTTTCTTATCGAGATCACGTGCAAGGGCTGTGGAGCGCGAGAGGCACGTCTACTTGAGAATGTCAGAAGCCATAATGAGGAGGGACAGAATGAACTCTAGCTGCCAAGCAGCACCGTAGTGTCTACAGATTGTACATACGTGGCATGACAACTACATTTGCGTCCGTCATTTGAGCTTCCTTTTTTATCTGGGTTGAAAGGCAAAGCTCACACGCAGGGTCCATCATCGTGCATCTTGCGGAAAAACGTCAAGTCCCAGTAGGTGGAAGGTAGTTGACTATAAAGATTAGATTTTAACAAACCTCACGGACACCGAGAAAAGAAAAACCAGTCCAGAAGGGAGCGCCTCAATTTTAGCTGCTGTGGGGCTCGGTGCCCAGGGCGATCGAGCGTTACTATTACCGTCTCGGTCTTTTTAAGGTGATGGGAGTTCTGATACATTCAGGAATGTCGTGTGATCATTTGTGAGGTGGTTGCAGTGCACCTTGCGCAGCAAAAGATCAACGAGTCCGTGTTCAGTAATGCACAGAGATCGAGATCGTGAACTCAACCCAGAAGCAGAGCCGAGAAACTCTACAGATATGATATGAGAAACCGAGGTTGATCTGCATACCAAAAGATTTCCCTATAAACTAACACTAAATATAGGAGAGCACACTGGGGCTCGCGTGTCTTCCGTCTTCGTAAGATATTGAGTAAAATGTGCAAACGAGCACATATTGCGCGCGGTTCTCTCTTCACTCTTCGAGCGCTATAGTGTAATATCCTACCAGCATCTTTGCGTCGAAAGTCCTCTTCCACCATTCATCTGGCATAGCTCGACAGGCCTCTGAGAATGGCGTAACTCCGACGCCCTTGAAGTTGTATTCAGTGAGGAGGTCGAGTTACTCCCCGATGTGAGCGGTCGTAGTGATTCCCAAGACTTAATTGACACCTCCGCTATTTTGTAGGGGCTTATGATTAGACCTTCTATTGTGAGAGAGGCGTTCATTGCGTTCCGCCTCCCCTCAACACGAACTAAGATTTCCGTGTCATTTATCTGATGCAGGCAGTGTTTCAATAGCAAGTCGTAGCTTTCACCGATATTCAGTTAACCATCAAGGTGGGCCTGGCTTAGGAAATGCAACTTGCTCATCCAGCTCTTGCCAATTTTACCATGTTGTGACTGAGGTTTAGACCAACAAAGTTGCTTACCGCGCTGGGGTGGAGCCACTACACGCCTAGGCATGCTATTCCGCTCGCACAAATAGCTAGGCGAGCACCAGAAGTTGCTTTGCGGTGGCACTTTATAACCACTTACGTCCTTAACTTTTGGGATTTTTGAATGCACTTGGATCTAGATCCTTCAAATACATTGTAACTTGAGCACTAAACGCTGATGAGCGCAAATCTAATGCATTTTTGACGCACTAGGTGAGGAAGACGCGTTGTAACCCGTCTCATAATATTGCCCCTTGGTCCCGTGTGATTTCGACGACCGACTGGAGCTACTTTTAATAGCTAAGCTTTCAAAGTACAACGCACGACATAGTCGTCGAGGGGAAAAATCATCATATAAATTTGCTGTAAACAACCCCGGTTGGTTTCATGAGACAACCGTTATACTACCAGCCAAGTCTCCGGCCTGAAGCAAACCAACTCCACCAGCTATTGGAAAGCGCACTACGACGGGAGACCCTACTTTTTTCGGGGAAGACAAAATGTGAGAGTGCGCCAGGTCATTAGCGGCAATGTCACCAAGTTTTTTTTGCCAAAATAAGAGCTCAACACCCTTGAGTGTTTAAGTGAGAAAATTCATTGTGCTTCACCAGGTACTGGCTACAGCCGTGGTGTACCCGCTGGCCCACCTACCGTTCCACGTGAAAGTGATCAGCTTTTGTTTATTGAACAGAGTAGCGCCGACAAAAGCCAAACTTCTGTTGCTGGCTCTCGCGAGCTCTCTCGGCTGTCGTGACACGTCAACTCTCTGAAGTTTCGGCGTGCGCCAGGAGCTAAGACGAGTCATTACTCTGATGTGCTAATTGAGGTACTTTGTTGCACTCCGTGGTTCGAGATGCCGTAACTAAAATTTCTGAGAAGTGGCATAGCTCTATTCTTACTCGTCACAATATCGCTATTAGTAACAAGATGAGCGACCTTGAGTAGACGCCTCAAAACTATCACAATGTCAGCATTACCGAACGCGTCTTTTGGAGCAACAAACACAAAGCCCAAACTTTCATACTTACGGACTACCGATACTTTGCCGGAACATGCATGCTGGCCAGAGGCGCTGAAGCATGCAGACAGGGATTGACCGCTTGAGACCTTTCCCTCGTGCACATGTATTTGCTTACCTACTTTAATGGGCCATCAATAAACAAGCTTGCACGGAGCAGTTTGTCGTTTCTCTTCCGGGATGGCCGGTCACTATCATTCACCTCCTACAGTATTCACGTCTTTGGGTTCTCAATACGACGTATCACCACTGCGCGCTCAACCACATCGGACCGTGAATCGTTGAAGCGAAAAGGAGACTTTTACTGTTAACATCCCAAAGAAAATGCAAACACATCCTGCGTTTTATATGGGCTTACTCAAGTCATACCATTTCGTGTCGAGTGTGAAGGATTTTGATGTAGACGGAGCAACATCATCACCATCTCCTGTAGCGGACCCATCCTTCAATCAAAACAGCGGCGATGTTCTTAATCGCTGGTGAGCTCCAAGCCACCCCGTTCAACACGAAGCTCAGATATCGAACTTGAGATCAAACTCATCTCGGTTTCGGACGCTGACCGAGACTCTCGAAAAGAGTCGATGTGCCGTGATCACAGAGAGAACCCTAGAGCTAGTGGCGCGACGGTCGACCCCGCTGGCACTCCTCGGTAAGCAAGGTGTGATCCACCTTCTTGAAGAACGTTTGATGGACTAGTGGTCACACCAGGGTGTCATTCTCATCCATTGGGATGGAAAGATTTGTGGGAGGTTAAAACTTCACTTCGGAAAGATTGCTCTGGTGCCGCGACAATATACAACCTGGATCACCCTCGGCCTTCATTCCCAAGGATAAAGGGCAAAGTTGACCGTTGCAGCACAGATAGGAATCTACCCTGTGTTAGACATACCCTTATTACGGCAGTCTCGTGGAGACAAGCGGGGCCATTAACAGCAGAGTCTAGTGGTGATGTACTCGACAGTTTTAAGTCTGTGCCGTGCTATGTACTTCGACAAGTCAAGTGCAAGTCGAAGCTGTACATGAATCTTCGCCTTGCTGAAGCTAACTTGTTGAGTCTAAAGGCGGATAAAAATTGTCTTTTATCTCACACAGCGTGTGAATCGAACTTCATACTAATCAGTGTTCTCGCCATCTTTAATTTTCTTAGAAATGTGGAGTGCGCTGGCACTGCTCATCTAAGCGCAGGCGATACTCCTGGAATATGATGACCTTCGGATTAAAAAACACTGAGCTGTCCGTTCTTGCGCTTCGTTTGCTTTCGATGTTAGCGAGATGCCCAGTTATAAAGAGTGTGATAGGGCCACACCCGAGCGAGCGACTTCGACCGTCCGTTATCACCAAATGAGTCATGTGCATTTTGTACAATGAAACAAAAGTGTGTAATGTGTACGCACACAAGAACACCTTGTGCCATTAATTGGAATGGGGTTCCGGATATGATTGAAGGCCTCAGCAGATTCTGATTGAGACCTAGACCAGAGACTTGGAGCAGATTCTGTTTGAAATATTTCGGCAAATGTAATGTAAGCAGAATAACAAACTAGAAGAAGATTTATGACTTTAAATAATACTAAGTAATGATGCTTGTATGCAGCGGTGCTGTTTGGCGAGACGTGGTTTAAGCTACAACATTTGGCCACAAGCCACCGCATGGAATCCTGCAGCACAGTTCCGTTGCTGTCTGCTTGATGCCGTGCAGCTGAAGCTCGAATGCGAATTTCCAATTCTTTTAAGCCCACACCGGCTTCGAGGCCACGACTGCCTCGAATGGTCGGACCATCTCAGAAGAGCGCACATACATGTTTTCGGTGTGGACGCGAGTTCGCGGGCGAGGTGTACTCAGAGGAATATCCTCTGAGTCTAAAACCGGATCTGTGACCACTGGACTCTCCGACACGACGTCTTTACGAAGAAAATGTAGCACGCGGCGATTGCGTGCGTATTTGTGGGAGCGTCGGCGGTCTACGATTTCTAAAATACGCTTCATATCCTCTTCAGTATCATCGCTCTCACTCAATTCATCAGAAAGTGAATCGTCTGTGCTTTCAGTCGAAACAACATCCAACTCTGTTTCGGGTTCGACGTCTTCGATCTCAACAACATACTCGGCGTCGTCTTCAAGCACTGTAGTCAAAGATCCACATTGATTGATTGGAGTACGATCCGCAGGGTGGAGCTCAATTGGCGAAATAGGCTTATGGAAGCTGTAAGCCTTGTGGCTGGGATCGTGCACAAGAGCGCTGCCTAAGAATCCACGTAAAATAGAAATTCCAATAGGACTGATGTCACGACGCACAAGGTAGTTCTGGCTGATAAGAAGACGATGTAATCCCATGAGATACTCTAGAAAAGCATCGCAACGGTGCTCGACTACTTTACCCATTTTATAGCGAAATTTATGCTTTTTGGGAAAGTAGAGATCGTCTACTAAGCTGGCGATACGTGGAAATTCATCGCCAAAGAGCTTAAAATGTTCAGTTACGAGACCGCGTAACATCATGAAGTCCGAGTAGCGACGATGTACCACCCAACTGCGACCGGATATGGCGTTCTGCACATGTATGGCAAAAATTGTCGCTTTTTTCCCAAGTTTATTGTCAGTCGAGATCACAGGTTTTACGAGGTACACTGCAACAGAGCCCACGTTGACCAAAGAACGTTCAATAGCGGTACCACCCATTGCCACTTGCAAAGTCTCGCCTTTATGACTCGTTGGGCGCACAACGAGCTGTGGTACGAGTTGTGAGGCTTTTGACGTGATGTCCTCGCGTATACGCCGACCAATCGCCAAGTTGGACATTTTGTTATTCGGCATCCGGCCTTATCTGGTACCTACTCGAGCCACTGCTCCTTCTAGATGTTTGTTGCTTGATTATTTTGCGAATGAAGAGGATAGCGGAGCTCAGTGTGGGCTGTGCTGCGCTGGCTTGTGTTTCAACAGGACATGTACCGTATGAGAGGATCGGTATTACTCACTACTAAAAGCCTGTTCCACCCTTGTTTTTTCTGGCTTGAATACACAATAGTGTCACAAACAAGCTGTTTAGACGATTGGTCAAAACGATGTCAGCAAGCTTTAGGGATTAGCCAAAAAAATGGTCGTCGCGTTGCTTGCAGTGTGCAATGCCATGCAGGAAAATCCGGACCAAGAGCTCTTTATCTTATCTTTCTTGCTGCAGTATCTCCAGGCTTAGCTTGATGGTCTCGACTTTACCATGTCAATTACACAATAGAGAAAATTATTCAGCCCAGCAGATCCGTTAAGTTCAGGTAATAATAAGTGTGAGTCTAATTTATGTCGCGGATAAATGCGGAGATGGTAGGTCTACAGTAAACAAGTCGGTAATCACCCTGTCCGCATAGTAAGTATATCCGGCTTCTGTCAGTGATTGTTTTTCGACTTGAATTCGAATCAGAAGATATCCAAGTTCATATCTTTGCATTCAAAATTGGCTTTTGAATGTCGAACTTCTAATACGCTGCCAACGTGAAATTAATGATTAGGCTACTGATGCAGATCAAGGATAGTCCAATTTCTCCTGTACTTAGCGCTGCACTAATGATTGTTGAGACTCGTCATCTCTTGGTACAGAATGGCCATCTTGGATCATGAAAAACGAAAGGACCGGCTGGGCCACTTAAGTAGACGGAGCCTAGAGAATTTAAATACAAGAATGTTCCTCGTAAGAAATTTACTATCAAAAATGAGATTTAAATTGAGTACTTATGATCCAGATAATATCACGAATTACGTGCTTTTGGAGATCACGCTCCTTTTAAAGAACATTCGGTCAGTTAGACTGCTTGTGGATTCATGCCGAATATATATCCAGCATATTCGATTGATTCACTTTCCACTATCCGCAAAGACAATACCTCAGTAAGTGATACTGCGCCGTACAGTTCACGTAAGACGTTTGGATCAGCAATTTCCGGCCCAATCTCAAGCTAAAGCGCCTTTCCCTTAAATATTGATGCGTTCTGCTCAAACGTCTGTAAAGCTCATAGGTGATACATTTTAAACAAAATTCCTAACATTACACCACTACCGTAGAATGATTATTCGCGATAATATATACTCCGGAGTATGAGGATAAAGTCTGTTGACGAATCATGACTCTGCCAAATGTTATATGTAGGTCAAAGCGCTATAACATACGAAATTTGCTGGATGCCAAGCGTTTTCCTATCGTTAACGATAGGTTGCTCTCGACCATTCTTTCTTCGGCGACTTTATGCGGTACGACGCTGGTTGTCAGTTTCGATGGGCTGTACCACTGTCGCAAAGCCTATAGCAAATAAACGAGTTAGGCAGGTAATCTGACTGTTCGATTGAGCTCGAAATGATACAAATGATAGAGTACTAGATACGCAGACAAAATTTTGCGTAAGTTCCTCTGTCTGCTCGACATTTTGATGCAATTCGACAAGCCGACACCTTTGTGACATTTGAGCAGCGGACTTTACATTATGGGATGCAGTAAGGCATGGGTCATTTACCAATTTGCTGTTTTATAATTAAAGTAAAGGATCGGGTCCTTTGTAGGGTAAATGCATGCTTTACAACCTAATCCGAGAGTTTGAGCTGGCACTATCAAAACCATAATCTTTGTTACTACATGTCAGCATTTGTGGACAACCTTCTGCTACAAATTCGTACTTCTGGAAAATATCCAGTATTCTAGAATCGTTTATCCAAGAGAGAGACGCCGCCGATTACAAAGCGTCGCTGCTACTAGTGTGAAAAGTTGACTTGCGGAACTGGCTTGTAATTTAAACTACACAAACTTTATGCTCGAAAATGCACGATCCCAAAACAAGTTTATGCATTGGTTCTTCGTTGACTGCAAAACACATTGATTTTGGTGGCGAAGGCTTTGAGCCTGGAAAACAATGCTGCTCATCAGATGGTCAGACCTCAATGAATTTTAAGTGCTAGATAGAATAAAGCTCTGATAATGGGAATTTAAATATAAATTCTTGAATAAAAATCACCTCTTTGGCAATCTTGCGTTATTTTGGGTGGTAGATCGGGCGATATTTTGGGTGGTAGAGTTGTGTTGAATTTTTCTTCAATTTAATGCGAATGAATATGTCCACTTAGAGTCTTGTTGCAACGAGACTGCCGTGCTCCTCGCACACACAGAGCATTGACTCCTCGAGTCCAATTTAGTAAATATGTAGAGATTGGGATACGAAACCGAGATTCGAGCAAGTAACAAGAACTTATCTCACAAGGTGATATACATAAATAAATAGATCTGTTTTACGAACTACATAAATCAAAGCCTATGTAATGCATAGTGTGCATGCGCTCACGTATCGTATCTCTCCTTTCTTAAATATCATCACCCTGATCACTTATCCTGATACTTCACCCATGGTACTACTTGGGTACTTCTCTCAGTTCGAAGGACAATTGCGAAATGTGTACGTTCATATTCAAATAAATACGTACGTCTTACCTCATTAATCCGCTCCACCAAAACGTAGACCGCATAAGGACATTTATATCTATCAGTCAATATACCGCGCACATGGTGAGCTCCCACAAGAGTATTTAGTACCGAGATTCGTCATCCCCTACCGAGAATGGTGCGGCCTCTGCGTTTAACCACGTAGGAACTGACCCGGTGAGTCGGTAGAAGTAATCACCACCACGAGCGGCCTCAATTGACATTCCGAGTACCTGTGCCCTCACCGAGATCCATATGACGAAACCAATCCGCGGCTTAAAAAATGTCTTCATGAAAATGCGATATTAACGCTCCGCCTCATCTATCCTTAAGCTACTCACTGCGTGTCCGCATCCTTTGACACAAAGCCGCCATATTCACATAAAAACCCTGTGCGCTGAAACTGTCGTACCGATCCGAGTTCGTTAGCCTGCGAGCTCAAAAGTCGCAGTAGCATTCGATGCAGTCACACCAAATTAAATTATATTGTGATCATGAAATTGATTCATCCGAAACCTTCCGCGCCGCCTCGGAAGAGCCCTGAGAAATCCACGCGAGCAAACCTTCTGCTTAAACAGAGAAAGATTTGAAAGCCTAGGGTTACTTCGAGTTTGCTTTACGATCTGTATATTGCCATCTTAGCAGCAAAGCTCAGCTGAAATGGTCAAATAGTACTCTACTCAATTCGCGCACTAGATGAAAAGAGCACGATCACCCTTGATCCGGCTTCAGAGTATGCAAAGCCGACGAATGGCTTAAGCGTCGTTTAACTCAAACGTTTCAATCTGCAAAGTGAAAGCATGGCATTCACATCGGTTATATGCAATGGTCCACCATCACGATGAGTCATCTATTGGTTGCTCTGGTTGAGCTGCGCAATATTTACTTAGACCCCCCCCGACCGGCTTAAATTTAGATCGCTTGTCACGAGAAGAATTCTAGACGCTTCATTGTCTCCGACAGTGGGAATCAGATCCGAAACTTGTGAGAGCGGGTCTTGTATAGCCTTAGTAAACCCGCACTTTATTTCTTCGGATTCATGGTGCAACTCAGTTTTGCCTCAGTCGAAAATACAATACATCAAGGATGCAACTTACCCTTATCGACATTAAACACTGCAGGCGTAGAAATTCGACAGTGTTTCTTAGCGTCTATTTTGGGTCACTTCGTTGCAGCTGCTAGCCGCCTGATATCAGCAAGTCGAATCGTATCAATCAAGCCACTTCGTGGTGGTTATAAAAGAGTCCGTGAGGTCAACAAATCATTATGAAAAAATTGTAAGGCCTGTGGAGTGTTTATGTGATAATCCAGCGAATATACAAATTTGAATCATTCGCTCCAGCACTGCTGTTGTCTCGCGCAAGAGTTTGACGTACGATTTTCACAATGCGATTGACGCATTGCGTCTGACCATCGCGTTGATGATATATTGTGGTTTGAAAATCAAATCTACATTGAGCGAAGTTTAAGCTGAAAACTCCTGTGAGGCGTGCGGTTGAATACGAAGCATGGCCACCGGCATACTATCGGCAGAGAATATCATGTCGAGGATCTCCTAGACTATTTTCCCATCGATAACAATTTCGTCATATCCAGCATTCAGCTCAAATGATCCAATAAAAAATCACTGTCCGAATTACTGAAATCACCATCTGATAAATCAAAATGCGGTACATTCTACCATGCTAGTTGTCACGAAAGAATGCCGGAAACGGTAGAATGACCAAGGGCGTCGATGAGCTTAACCCAATGCCGCACTCGAAAGAAATTCAGATAATTCTTAAGCACTTATACGTATCGAGCTATCAGTGCATGGTGCTCATTGAGTCGTATGCTATTTTTGTACTGAGTTCAGTTTTCGAATGTGCAGAACATTTTTGTCTGGAACGTACGCTACCATGTCAGTGTAAATTGCATTATAATTGTGCAAACAGCCGAACAGGCCAAGTCTCATTTTTCATTCGATCTAGGTAGAAGCACTGGCCACTCAACAACGACTTCGCCTAAGGGATTTTTCCGATGGCCATTTTCTCGATGAGCAACTCAAAAACGAGATTTTGTCATAGCCAACGACACACTCATTCCGGTTAGCAAAGTGTGAATTCAAGCGCAATTACTCGATCATTGCCCACAAGTGTTTAATATGAATGTCCACAATCGACCTTCCGTGTTCTACAAGACCACGGGCGGAAACACCGTTGAGATCGATCTGTTCCTGTGCACGATGGCCGCCTGAACTACTGCGTCACCACACAATTTAGCCTATCTGCTATTTAAGTCTGCTCCTGGGTATTGCCGGCTACTCCGCCAGATAGCTTAAGAGGTATCACTCTATCGCATGGGCAACTGATGAAACTGATTGTTCGCGTCAAGATCATTGTACAGCCTACCATGCTGTTCAGCGGCAACCGTTTCAAGGTATCAGTGTACTGTAAATAACAATCACACGCACTCAAATTTTGCCACTTGTTGGCTTAAGTCTGCAGAATGGACGTTTCATAAAGAAAACGTCTTGTAGTTTTTTCGCGTGCGTCATGTGCTGCATTAAACCAGAATCGATCAGTCATACGCTGCCTGACTTGGTGGCATACTCTATTATAAGTGCCTCCTGTCAGAGACAATTGCCTTCGGAAGTCCGTGTTGTCGAAAGACACGATCCACAAACAGCGTCGCCGTACCCACACCGTCGGAGGATTACAGCACTGCCGCATGCTGAGCCATCTTGCTCAAACAGTCCACAAAGACCACCACACCCATGTTACCCGCCGAGTCGTTGGGAAGGCCAAACGCAAAGTCCATACTCATGAACTGCGAGGATCCCGGTAAGGTGGCCAGCGTCGCCGCCGCATTCGGGGAGGGTTTCAACCTTTGACGTAATCTCACACGTGCGCACATACGTGCTCTTTTTTGTACAGCTTGGGACACCAGTAGTGGCAACTCACAGAGCTGTACGTCTTTTCACGACCGAGATGACCACTGATTGGGATGTCCTAAGCCTCATAGAAAATATGGTATTTCAAATTCTCATCGTAAGGAACCACAACTCTTGGCGCATCCTTCGAATAGATGCTACAATACAGCAATCCGTTATTTAACGAAAATCAGTGTAACTGTGCGCGCAATCGCGTCGACAACTTCTTGTCCAATTTTTCAGACCCCTTGTTCTCGAGAGCCTGTAGCAGCACTACACACATATCATCACCCACGTATGCGGCGCGGATCAAATCCGTCACTGACGACGTCACCATCGCGACATGAGCAAGCTCATACTTCGGTCTGCGTGACAACGCATCAGTCAAAGCATTCTGCTTTCCTGGCTTATTCTTCACCTCGAAATTCTATTCTGCAAAGAATAAGAGTCAACTGACCATCATCTGCGAGAGGTGAGGTGACGGAGTCGCAGTGCGTCGGGACGTATGATTTGTGTAGATCACATACGACTTTGAGCCAAGCAGGCGTACCCTGAACTTGACAAGTGCATACTTCATCGCAAAGAATTCCTTGTCGAGAACTGGGTAGCTTTTCTCCGCAGCCTTGAGCTGGCGAGATTCGAACGCGATCACCCAATCTTTCCCCTCGGCGTCTGCTAGCAGCAGTGCACAGCCGATGGCAAAGTTAAACCCTAGACCCACTCGACGAGCTTGAGGATGTGCATTCCAACCAAGTCGTGTCGACTCAAAGTTGAATTCGACATTCAATGCCGCATTCACTGTTCTTACAAAAGAAGACAGATACACGAAAGACTTTCATTCTGGCCATGCCAATGCGGAGGACCTCCATAAAGACGATCACTGTGACCGCTTCGGGGAGAGAATCAGCTGCCATCCCGGCAATAAGAGTACGCAATTCTTGGACAAAGTCCATCAACTCCTGTTTGCTCAGTCGGGCGGCAAGGAGACGCGATCGCACGCGATGTGCCTGGTTAGGTGGCGAGAACATCCGCAAAAGCTGCAGTTTCAAATTTGTCCAGGAGGGGAACGCCGCTTTCACCGAAGTGCTGCACGTCGTGCCCATTCTCGCGCTCGACTCCTGAGCTTGAATATAGCTAGCGCCACGCGCTGTTGCTCGTTCTGGGGCATGGCGAACGCCATTGTTATCTTGGCCCCTCTCAACCAGAGCAAGAGTTTTTACCCGCCCTTGCCCTCGACAGTCTTAACGCTCACAATTAGCGGCCTGGGTCGGAAGGAGTTATACGTCGTCGACGGTGGCGTTGTAGACGCAGTCTTCGCTGACATCTTCTTATCGAGGTGCCCTAGCAGAGTATTTTTAAAGCACGTAAACACCTCTTGCCACGCACTTATCGCTTCGGATCCTAGCGAAGCTAGGCGTTGCACGCCCTCAGGGTCAAGCAGAAACAGCAGTTTTTAAGCCCGTCCTGCATATCCTGGGGCAAATAGGAGAATTGCTCGATCCTTCACAGAGTAACGACTCAGGCGGAGATTGACTACAAGTGCTACCAAGTACAGCGGAGATGCCGTAGCTCTTTGCTAATAGAAGCTTACTTAGGTCACCGATCTTACCCTCTGTACTTGAACCAGTATGAATGTAGTGGACCGCAATCCGATTCCTCCACGAGTACCCAAATATTAATCCAAGGCGATGTACTCTTCCGTTTAATATTGAAATTGTATTATCTTTTTGTTCGCGACAGGGCCACCTATTCTCCAAACTGGATAGAAAAGCCTGATTAGTATGCATAACTACTGGCAGTCCCGCCACGTAGTGGCTTCTTGTTTCGGTGTAGCCACACCATTGTGTGTTTAAACCGTATCGTGTAACCCAGATATTTGTACGGTCAGACCATCTTGTGTAATCCACCCGTTCATACCAGGGTACGTGTAATCCCGTTACAAGCTGTCACGACAGCGAGTCGATTTTATACTTCAACGCCACAACCAACAGCGCAATCAAATTGTATACACTTGCCCAAAGCATCATGATCAAGTCGCTCTAGCTGACTGGAGCTCCAACAAAGTCGACTTGCCCCACTAGCATCGTGATATTGTATATGTCTCCAACACATCATCATCCTTGGCCAATTTTGTCGTCAAGAACCGTTGACAGCGCTTATTGGTCGAACAATTCATCTTAAAACGTGACTCCAGGCGCAACCATGCATCGTTCGTGCCATCCACTGACCAATACAACGGCGATGGCGCAACTTGCATCGTGGGACAGATGATCGCTAATGCCTCGTACGACTTCCTCTTGTACGCTGACTGACTCAGCATGGTGCCGCAATGATCAAACTTGTTATTCCCGGAAACGACTTTTCTCAGACTACATTCTTCAAGCGCCATCTGCATCTCCAACTTCCATGTGGATGTTGGTACTGTCAAACTTGTTGATGCGGCTGGGGTCGGAGAATTTCATGGCGAGGGAGGAGTCGTAGCCGAGGGCACAGATTGCGGGGCTTTAGCTCATAATCGAGCGAAAATGTACTGATTGGCAAAAGAC